ATAACACCACCATGAGCATCTTCTTTGCTGGCTGTTTCTGGTGTGAGCTCTGTGTCCTTTGGAGAACCTGGGCACTCTTCGAGAGAAAGAATGACTGCTCTGGAGATCACAATACTTCTACATTCATACAACTATAAAGTTGTCTTGATATGAGCTTCATCTGTAATCTCGTTTCATATTTTCAAAACAGAACTCCATAAAATATAAACTGTGACTTTATACTGCACTCTCACATTTTATTTGTTAGAAAAGTGCCCCCTAATCACTATGTTTAACTATTTGCAATTACAGGGAAACACTCATCAGTGGCTTGCTAGGCCCCCCTTTTACCTTCAGAACTCCCTTAATTCCTCAGCAATTTTAGTCCATGATACAATAGCATCACACAGTTACTGCAGATGTATCAGCTGCTCCAGTCCACCACATCACAAAGATGCCGTATTGAACTGAACTCTGGTGACTTTGGAGCCCATTTGAGCACTCATTGTCATGTTCAAGAAACCAATTTTAGATTATCAAAGTTTGGGACATGGTGCATTATTGTACTGGAAGCAGACATCAGACAATATTCGGGTAGGCTGTTGCACTTAAACGATGCTTAGTTGGCAATAGGGGGCTCAAAATTGGCAAGAAAACATGCCCCACACCATTACTCCAACAGCAGCCTGAACCTCTGATACAAGTCAGGATGGCTCCATGCTTTTATTCCGACCCTACTATCCAATTTTTTTCCAGCCTTCTATTTCCTAGTTTTGGTAAACCCCTCTGAATTGTAGCCTCAGTTTTCTGTTCTTATCTGATAGGAGTGGCACCACGGTGCAATCCTCTGCTGCTGTAAATCATCTGCTTCAAAGTTCGACTTGTGAGTTCAGACTTGTCAGTACTGCATACTTTTTTTCCACTGTGACAGCCATTCTGAGAGAATGATACCTTAAAGCCTTAAAATCACCTTCCGTCATCATTTTGATGCTCGGTTTGAACCTCAGGATGTTATCTTGATCATATCTACATGATAAATGAATTGAGATGCTGCCATGTGATTGGCTGGCTACATATTTGTGCCAACATTTGAACAAAGTACTGACTTTTTTTTTTTATCTTAAATTGTTGATTAATTATTGAATTAAATTCAGTTCTTAAAAGAAATAGTACATTTAAAAAGGCTCGTGTTTTAAGGCGTTTTTGCTCTCATGTAATTTACTTTTAATTTTTAAAAAGCACTAAGAACCTTTTTGCTGAAATATACAAATATACTTCTGTTCTCTTCCACAGTTTCATTGTGCATGTACAATGACAATAAAGAGCTATTCTGTTCTATTATATTAAATCACTTCAATTATTAATGATTTATAATGCAAGGTAGCATTTTCTGGGTGCGCTTGTACTGCCCTTTAAAAAATGAATCCCTACACCAAAGGTTATCAGGCTCCAGAGTAGTAGTATTGTATGATAAATAATTTGATGTATATAACAATATACAATATTCTAGTGATGCCAATACAGTTTGGTAGAAAAAATCTCAACTTTCCTTATCTAAAATCTTCCAGCTCCCTAAACTGGCATCATTTTATGTGATAATTACCCAAGACTCATCTTTTTTAAGGCAGCAGCTCCCTCTACTGGTCTCAAGTAGTAATAAAGTCTCAAGGCTTTATTAAAACCAATTCGTTTCGACTCAATCAATTTGACCCAGTGCTCACAGCAGAAAAGTCATTCTCGCCACTCATAATCCAGTTTTCAAAATCAGTTAGGGGATTTTTCATAACACAGCGTAACCTGTGCAAAAGATGCTCCAATGATCAAAATCTTTTTCACTTTTGTTGAAACATGAATGGTCAATAAAGCACATCAACTCTGTGGTAAATGAATAAAAACCATTCACTGACCTTTAAAGATTGAGTCAATAAAATGTTTGTTTGGTTTTTGGGTTTTTTTGTCAAAACCATACTGACTTTGGAAAGAGTTCTGCAAAAATGAAGGCCAATGTAGAGTGCTTTGTTTTCAGCAAAAAAGAAATGGAAAGGATTTATTTGAAACTTTACAAAACTGATGAAATGGAGAAAAGCAAAATACTGCTACTCGAAAACAGACAAAGAAAGTATGTACAATCTGAGAACATAGCAGCAGATGTTGAGAACTGAGGTTTAAACTAAGCATCAGAATAAGGAAGAACGCTAATTATTTTTGGCATGGATTTTGATGTCAGCTTGTGTGAATATTTCAGACACTGTAGATGTACTTTCCCACACAATCCCCTGCAGGGTTTACAGGGAATGGGCTGATATGAGAAAACAATCAGTGAGCGACAGTTGTCTGCGTGAAAACACTTTGTTGATATCAGAGGAGAATGGCCAGATTACTTCGAGCTCTTGGGAAGGAAACAGTAACTCAAAAAAAACCACTCATTACAAACCAGCTATGCAGAAGAGCATCTCTGGGAGCCACACCTGTCAGTTAAGAACAGGAAACTGAGGCATTCTTAGTACATACTAGAAAGGGAAATTTAGATGAGCAACTGTGACACAAGACTGAAAGTATGTATTTTCATTTGTTGTAAGTAAAATTGTTCTTGTAGTTTTGCAGTAACTTGATTGAAAACACAAATGCAATGCTGGACAGTATTCAAGAAAGTGACAGACCTAGAGTTGTAAACAACAAAAGTACAAACTGTTTTGATGAGCTGTTAGACTCAAATGAGAAGTGCATCAACACAGTAATAAATATCTTTAGTATTGAAGTATGTGTAGAAACAATGACAACACTGCTTTGACTTTTCTGCTGTGAGAACTGAGCCAAAGCGATTGAGAAATATTTTACAGAAAGTGAGAGAAAGTACCACAAGCTTAATTAAAACACAAATTCAGTCATTTAAAAACATGATGTGGGAATTTAGATATAATTGATAACAGAACCCACAAGTAAGTCATTGGTGAATTTTTGCAAATACTAAGAAAAGATGTTTATGTGGGGTTTTTTGTTACCTCCTTTAGCAGTGGATAAAAGGGATTCATTTAATTAATTTAAATGTTGCATTTTACTGTTATCCTTTTATATCCTATATAGATTTTAACTAACATGTCATCATCTGATGACATCTCTAATTGGAGTAGGTGTCACATAGAGATCATTTTGTGTGGAAAATAAGTCAAAAGATGCATGAAATCCCCCATTTTTCTGTGAGCACACGCAGAGCCTGATGCAGAAAGCCCTGATTAACAAAGAAAGTTGATATCAATCATCATGCGGCCCATTATTCCCAGCTGGTGTTTTGTGATTTGTCATGCCAGCTTATGCAAGGGAAAAAACAACAACAAAAATCATGGCTGTGTTGAGTTTGATTCCTAGTATACACCTTTGGGCTACTCATAAGTTTGTGTGTTTAGTTTTTGGATTTAGTTTGGATAACGTTTCTGAGAAATGTGACTCAGTCAAAATAAAGACTTGCCTTTTGTGTAATAAGTCTTCCTCCAGAGTCAGTTTTTAATATGTCATGGAAGTTAATGCATGCAACATATATAAATGTATACTTATCTACTAGCAAATAAACATGACTGAACAAAAACATTGTAACCACAATCACACTGCTATAATCCAGTGATAATTTATGTATATTGAACCAAAGCATTTCTATTCCCCTTGAATCAGAACCTTTCTAATATATATATATAGATAGATATAGATATAGATATATAGACATTTTTAATCATCAAAAAATAAAGGAAAATTTGAATAGTTGTCATAGGATTCATTGCTACCCTATGGAGCCCCACAAGTGACCTCCAATCAGCTGTGTATTAGAGGATATAAGTGTATCATAGCATGTACATTACAGTATATTATTCACTCACCCATCCAAAATCACTGAATTCAGGTGTTTCGATCACTTCCATGGTCACCAGTGTATAAAATGAAAGATTACAAAGATTACAGACTACTACAAACATAATGGGTCACTCTCAGGAGTTCCAGCTTGATAAGATGCCACTCGTACAACAAATTCAGTTCTAAAATTTCCTTCTACGGTCAAGTGATTGGGAACAATAGCAACTTTTTTGTTTTGTCAGAAGCTCAAACTGGCTTAAAATAGAATAAAGTGAGTAAACAATCCTGGGGTTTCTGTAAACATAAGGAAAAATCAAGAATAAACAGTCCTGGTTGAAAATGTTACTTTGAAAAATCTGCTTTAAATTCAGCTTCCATAAAAATTATATAGCATTGATTTAAAAATATGACTTAATGTTCAGTGATTGTCCTTACAATAATGCTGGTTTAAAAAAAGATGCACTTTTTAATGAAAGTATTGAATCATAAAAATGATATTTGTCAATCAGTTATGTCACCATATGTGTTATGGTCTTCTGTCTGCCTTCATACAGTCACAGTTAACTTGTTTTTGTAAATTATTATTATTAGTATTATTATTATTATTATTATTTATATGCCTAAAACTGGATGAATACATCTTAATTCGTTATATTAAAAAGAAATTATGTGATATATATAGATTTACAGTCTCTCTCTTTTAGCAATGACAAAACATCACAAAAAACAATGAACACAATTGCCACAATATTTTAAACAGATGCACATTTTGGTATAAACTGTACTCGTTAATTCCTGTCCTGTTTCACAGTCACAAAAAACCGGAGAGGACAGAATGTCGCCTGTCAGGCTCCTAAGGTTCTGAATCAGTCCAAAATCGAAAAGTTTATTAGCTTTTATTGAGCTTAGATTGTTGATTTTTTTTTTAAATAAAAAAAAAAAGATATATTAATCTAATTTTCTGCCCTATAATAATTATAATGTCCAAGTTACAGAAAATGGAAATAAAAGTAAAGTATCTAAATACTTCGTTAATAGTACTAACAACAACAGAATTACAACGTGAATTTTTGTTATACATTTAACGACAGTAGTCCTTTTTTTAATTATTTATTTATTTATTTATTGGGTTAAAATTGTAGGGGAAAACATCAGTGGCGCATGCGCACCTGCTCTTCTCCGCCTGTCTTCTCTCCTGACAGACCGCAAATGACCTTAGTCTCCGCAATATCACACAACTTAGACTGGAGCGCTCAATAAACGGCATACCGGGAGCGATGGCCGGGATGTTCGGGAAGATATTTGTTGGCATTTATGTGGAGATAAAACGGAGCGACGGTACGTAGCATGCTCCGCTCACACATGCACATTCAGACACACCGCTCTCCATCCGGCCGGTCCGCATGAGAGCAGCTAACGTTACCGCTCAACGCAGCCGGATGTTTTTGCTAGCTAGCAGGCTGCTACACTGTCATTCACAGGAATGTCGCAATAAAAAGGTCGGCGAGCGAAGTGTCAGAGACTCAAAAACGACACAAATAGTCTTTGACACGGTGCTGCTGTGTCTGTCAGTGATGCAGACATACGGCAATGGGTCGACCTGACTGCAGGGCTGCGGGCGGGTCCGTCCACCTGCTGTCCGGTTGACACCTACCCTGCCGCCCTCCTTCTCCTTCCTCCCGTCCATTGCTTCATGGCCGAAACACCTCCGGTTAGAGGACGGGATGCAGGCACAAGTCTGCACTGCATCATGCACCATGCAGCGGTGGCCTGTTAACCAGGGCTGATGGATGGCTGATGGGGGGCCTTTCATCTCCAACTGTATTTCATCTCAGTAAAAAAATCGCACGACTTTCAAACTGCTCTGTGTATTTTAATATTTGTCTGTTGGCTATGAACCCGGTCAACAGTCACTACACGCAGCTCTTGCAGTAGTGTGATTGACAGTCTCAACATCATCTTTCATCAGCCACACCCATTTAGCATATCAGCATCCTTATTTTAGGGTTTAAGTTTTCCCTGTAAACACTGAATGACTGATGGATCAGTTTATTTGTTGTAAGATAATGCACAAAATCTTCAGGCCTAATTACTGAACATTAGCTTTATGGCTCATACGTTGGTGTCTGTATGAGCATTGGCTCTACAGTCTGGTCCAGCACTGCGCAGGCCTAGCATCCTTCTGTATCCTCTCTGCAGGACGAATACACCAGGCGATGGTCACATCACTGCATGAAGACAATGAGAGTGTGACAGTGGAATGGATTGAGAACGGAGACACCAAAGGGAAAGAGGTACATCTACCTCTGCACTCGGTTTCATTCATTATGTCCTGAAATGTAGTGATTTGTAATTTGCAATTCTCTTCCTGAATTGTTGTCAGAGATCCTGAGAGGTTCCACCTAAACTCTTTTATTTAACTTTAATTAACTTTCAAATATGGCACCTGTCTGTAGTTTTATTTGTGTTGCGAAATGACTAAAAAGTGATTGTCTGCCACAAAATGATAGCTGGTATTTAAACTGTTGTAAATGAGTTGCTGACCTATAACCTGTTAAACATATCTTAAACATATCTCTTGTGAATGATATCAAAGCATTTTGAGCTAGAAACAATAACCCTGTCAGATGTCAGATGCTGCAATCAGTTTTGTCAAAGTGACTTTTATATACGCTTTATTTATCAAGGTAAAAACTCTTATTCATATTAAAAATGGCTTTTTAAGCAGGGATCTGGCAAAAAGAGAAGCAGAAATTGCAACAAACATGACATAGTACTGTAAATATGTTTTAAGTAGCCAAAAAGGACTGGATTGATCATAATAAAAAACAAGGAGCAGATACAATATTACAGAATCATGAAGATACTTGCAAAATAGGTAATTTCTTTATTTTATACATAACAGCTTAGTGAATCCTGACCACACAATATTTATCAGTATATGTTAGAGATGAAAAACACAAAGAAACACTGGAAATCACTTTTTGGAGCACCTGAAATCAGTGAAATAGACATGAGTATCTTATTACTTGCTTTATCCTGGACATGTTGTAATGCTGTTGTAACATATGGGGTGTATTGCTGTACCCGATGCAGTGCACTACAAGTATCTCAAGTGTATAAGCATAGAATGCTTAAAAAAGATAGAAGTAGACAACGTCACATGACCCGTAGTTTAATAAAGTTCTCATGTCAAAAGGTGAGCTTTTTTTTGGAATGGTAATGTTGATGTTTTGAAACCAGATGTGATAAGTAAGCTTTACCAAAACTAGGAAAGACTGGAAGATTTAGCAATGCTACATTCACAAAAACAATGTAGGTTTGCTTTAAGACAAAACCTGCTTTATTGTTCATTTTAGAATCTAATTAGGACCATAATTTCATGTATGTGGGCAATAAGACCTGAAACTCATAGGCCATTTTCCCATAGGCTTCTATGCAATCAAACTTCTTTTTAAAAAGCTAAAGCATGTCCTCCTGCTGGCAACCAGAAAGATCACAGATTTTAACGAGCTTTGTCATTGGCAGAATTATCTGAGCTTTTTTTTATATGTTGGGTGTTCATTTGGGAGGCTAAGTTCACCTTTACATCATTACCGCCTTCTAAAAGAGTACAAATATTAAAAAAACATTATTGATAAAAGATATTACGACAAATTAAGCAGTCACATACGTTCCAAAGATAAACTTTATTGATCATCTTTATTGATGTTCTCAGCAAATACAGCCCCTGTTGCACTTGATGAGGTGATCTTGAGCCCCTGTTTAAACAAAGATTGTAACGATAACAAAGGAATTTCTTTCTTTTTTCTGATTTAGATTGATCTGGAGAGCGTCTTTGCTCTGAATCCAGATGTAGCTCCTGATGAAGAGATACCACAGAGTCCCGAGGCTCCTGTTCCTCCCTCCAATGTTGCCAAAACCAGCAAAGTACCCAAGGTCTGCTTCTCAACACCAGCCATCATTAATCAATCACTCCAATTTGCACATGACCTTTTAACAGAATATTACTATTATTCCTGATTTGAAGTGACTATGCTGTATTTTTTGCTATAAGCTATAAGTCAGTTTAGACATTTTTCCTTGCATACTTTATGTACTGCCTTCTTGCATTCTACATTCAACTCTAATGATTATGGTCTGTATAGACCAGACGGACTACAGCGATACCCAAGGCTGAAAATACCCCACGGGAGAACAGAGGTACGTTTGATTTAAACCTGACCCACTAACAGCTCTGAGATATGAAGCTTATAATTTAATAATTTTCTGCTTTATTACAGTTGGTGCTGCCCGATCATGTAAAAAAAAAAAAGAGTTTATGGGAAGCAGAGTGAGTGAGGGTTATTTTCTCGGAAATTACTGTAGAACAGTTTCACTACAACTTCTTTAACTCACCTTAACCTCTTAAGCCCCAATGCCCCCTGATACGGGGGCAAAAGGCAGGAGATCAGTTAGGCTTGGGGCTTAAGAGGTTAAAGTCAGTTTTTAAGGTGAGTTAAAGTTTTCCCAATACAAGAATTAGTCCAAGTGATTAATAACTGTAAAAGTCAAAGATAGAAATTTGTATACAACAGGGTTTTGTAAGAATGTAATAATGACTCCCAGTGTGCATTTAGGAAGAAACATCCAATAAGTGTGCTGAAATTTCTTTCTTATGAATGTTTAACTGAATTGACAAGAAAAAAAATCAGTGTTAAATATTTAAAATTTTAATATTTTGTTAGAATTAAAGAGTCATGTTTGGTTGTATTTACTCTTCTAATGATAAAATCCCCTGCTTCACGAGTCTGTCAGTTATGACAAAATGAATGGTTACATTTGTGCAGTCGGTTTGAAGCAGTCAGCATAGAAACACTGGCATGAACAAACCTCGCAGAAAATCTAAGAGGGTAACTGTGAACACTTCTCCTGAGAATTTGGGTTTAACTTTGTGTAATTTGGGTGAACTGCCTTTTTAATGTTTTGAGATGAGCAGTTACAATGGATTGTGTGCTCCTCAGCTGCCTCAGTGGGAACAACCCGGGCACGTCCCAGTCAGCACAGCCAAGCTGCGGAGCCACCCCCACCAACCATCGTTCCCCAGCCTGCCGTAAACCAGTCACTGATACAGCAGCAGAACGGTAACACAGTCACCCCGTCTGCAAACTTCATATGAGAGAGGATTCATGTCCACATGGCTCTGTTTGAAATTCTCTGGAGGGAGTTTCCAGCATCTCTGTTGTTGTTCTCTGTAGCAGTGATGTCATGCTCCCACACAGCTGTGTCTCTAAGGGTGTCAAAGGCTCTTTCACTCGCTGTGGCTTCATACTGCAGCACTTGTTTAAGTTTTTCCTCTGCTGCTGTTTGAATGACCATAAATATGTAAATAAGATCAGGCCTTCAAATAGCACTCAAAACATAACATTTGAAAAAAGAAATACTGTAATTAAAAAGTCATATTCAGTGTAATTTTTTTTTAAAAATCAGTTAAATCTAGCAAGTTTTTTGTAGACCTGCCCACCGGGCTATGTGCATACGCTGAAAGCAAGAGCAGAACAGAGCCGACATCATGACACAGATGAACTCAGACACAGAATGACAAATGGAGCTTGGCAAGATATGGGCTGAGGGACTGAATCAATCAAATCACTGCCATGTGTTTTAGGAATACGCCAGGACTTTTAACACGTTTAAAATAATGCTGGTTGCCAATTAAAAAAACATCCAGGTTAGGGGGCATTCACAATTCTCAACAAATTTTTTTTTACAACTTATGAATTGGGTAAATGGATGTAGTCTTTATAATATAAAGTTTTAGATATTGTACATTTTACACTTGATTATTGAGAATGACTGATTTAAGGTGATGCATGCATGATGCATCTGTATAGTAGAAAAACTGACTTTTAATTTAAGATTTGAAAGTGGGACATATAATAAAAGTTGAATAAGATTGATTACATTTATGAAACCATTTAGATTTTAGGTAAATGTACAAAGCGTAGTGTAACTACTCAGCTACACACAGTTCTTTTGATTTATTTCTTTTTTTTCCCTTTTTGTTGTATGAAGTGTTTTGTCGATGTGGTGGCCAGATGACTGAGTCAGAGCAGCAAAACTGCAGCTCTTGTTTTGTGTGTGTAAAATTAAATGTAAGGCATTATGAGTCAGCATCATCAAAAATAATTGTTAATGTATCAGAGGAAATAGTCCCTGTTACTTCAGCCTGTAACCATATGTATATATATTTTGATGCTGATATTTTAGGCCACTGTGCTCCTGTTTTTTCAGCACGGAGGAAATCGAACTGTGTGAAGGAGGTGGAGAAACTGCAGGAGAAAAGAGAGAAGAGACGTCTTCAGCAACAAGAGCTCAGAGAGAAGAGGGCACAAGTGAGAACTCAAGCATACACTACAGTACTTTACATTATACACACATCAACAAACACATTACCACAGTGTGAAGTGGAGAACCATTTGTTTGAGAATTATCTCTAGATATGAAGCTGATTTATAGCATACCTGCCAACACATTTTCCCAGGGTTTTTAAGACATCTCCTGGAGGCCACCTGTTTTACTATTTGTACTGTAACACTTCCAAAATTTGCAAAAATGCAAAATGTCTACTGTCTTCACTTTTTCGTCTAAATGACTTCAAAGTTCAGTATTTGAGCTTTGACCAACCCCACCACTCTAACAAACAAACAAAAGTCCCAAATTTTCAAACCTAAATGCTGAAAGTTATGGTTTATAGTCATAACTATAAAACATGGATAATAATGCTGCCTCTCACACAACAGGAGTTTTACCCACTATACTGTTGTACTGTCTCTTTATAAAAAAAAAAAGGTCAACAGAATTATGCACAAACAACTAGACTCTGTACTGTTAACCCAAGATTAAATATACAGTATATATTTTTTCTTGAATATTTTGACCTTAATTAATGTGGATGTGTGGACTGAGTTTTTTTTCTGTGCTTATTTCTATTGTGTGTGTCTGCTGTAGTCTGCATTCTTTCACAGTGTGCTGGTAATGTTCCAGATTTGCAGTAGCAAATTATTGAAACTATAATGCATGCACTGTCATCCTCAGAGGTTCTCTTCCATTATGCTCACAGAACCATTAATAAGGTTTTTTAAATTTCACCTCATGTTAAATAAGCAAAACTGTGACAATGTGAGTGAAATGAAAAAGAAAGAAAAAAACATGGATAATTATACTCCAAAAAAACAAAACAAAAGAAACATTACTCATCAAGTTATATTAACTGAAACTGTGAGAAGATTTAATAAGCACTGTTTTAATTAATCAGTCAGCTCATGTAGCATTTAATAAAAACGTTTAAATTCTGAAAACAACTGAAACAACACAAACTTTTAAAGGAATCAGATGCTTCAGTTTTTTTCTTTTGATTATTGCGGCTGTGTTCGGTTCACAGTGTTCTGAGCAGGTGGCCCTAGAGTTAAAACATATAGTTAGTTGGAACTAAAAATCAAAACGTGATCTACCAAACTTAGCATCATTTTAGAGAGCACTGTCTGGATACAAAAAGTATTCTCAGGCTGAAAGTAGCTTCTAATCGGCTGATTTAGACAAAAGACCTAAAAGTACGTGACGTGTCACTCAAAATGTTAGGATGTTGATTTTTAATTAATTAATTCACGAATATTTGAAATGCTTCCTGAATGTTTTTATTGTCTTTGTCATTATGTGATCAATACTTTTGTTTTCTGTGCCACTGCAGGAGGTGGATGTTAATTTACCAAACTATGAAATTATGTGTATGATCAGAGACTTCAGAGCCAGTCTGGACTACAGACCTTTAACCACAAACGATCTGGTGAGTCCAATTTAGATCTGCTGGTCAGAAGGAGTCAGTAGAGAGAGAGGTACCTGAGAATGTTGGAAGAAAGGAGGAACGAGGAGGTCATATGGCCAGTACAAAGGTGTGAACCGCACTATTTATTCATGTCTTCTCATGTTTCAGATTGAGGAGCACAGGATATGCGTGTGCGTTCGTGCACGTCCCCTCAACAAAAAAGGCAAGAGCATATTTATGGAGCAGCTGTATTCAGAGAAACTGTGAAGCCTGTGTTCAAGCTCAGACAGCTAATCAAAGTAGTTTAGAATTGGAGAGATGACCCCTGTGAGGAGGTGGAAAGCCTCCCTAAAAGTTTTTTATTGTTTACATCCACTATACCAATCAGATCTGCCTGACACTCATGGGTCATTTCTTCTGTTGTGGTGCCAATTATGTCCGTTTTAAATTTTATTTCTAAAAATCTCTGAATGTCGATTAATTAAAAACAAGTAACAGGGATGTCTATAGACTGCTGCTTGTCCTTGCCCTCGTACATCTTTGTAGCCTGTGTTTGGCCATAAATAGAAAATGTCTATAACAATGACTGTGTCTCTTCAGAGTTATCAACAAAGGATCTGGATGTCATCACCATTCCCAGTAAGGACGTTGTAATGGTCCATGAGCCCAAGCAGAAAGTTGACTTGACCCGCTACCTGGAGAACCAGACCTTCCGATTTGACTATGCCTTTGATGAGAACTCCACCAATGAAATGGTTTACAGGTACACTGTTTTTTCTTTTTTCTTCATTCTGTAGCACTTGAGTCAAATATTCTGCTGCCAGTAAACACTCCACCTGCAGGTTCACTGCTCAGCCGCTGGTTGAGACCATTTTTGAGAGGGGAATGGCGACGTGCTTTGCATACGGACAAACTGGAAGTGGAAAAACACATGTGAGTTTTTGACTTTGATTTGAGAAGTTTGGTTTTAGTGTCATGTTCTAACTCATGTCTCCTTTTAGACAATGGGAGGGGACTTCTCAGGAAAGAACCAGGACTGCTCCAAAGGGATCTATGCACTGTCTGGTTAGTTTCTGCTTTACTGATCATTATTATTATTATCATTATTATTGCTGGTCTCTGTTGTCAACAAAATTCATTTAGGTGTGTCCTTCTCTCCCTGCAGCCAGAGACGTTTTTCTCATGTTAAAGAAGCCAAATTATAAGAAGCTGGACCTGCAAGTCTTTGCCACATTTTTTGAAATTTACAGTGGGAAGGTAAGTGTGTTATCATCACTGATCATTTAAGCTGTATGTTAATATATAATAAAAAATAAAAATAAAAAAAGGTTAAATAACTGATGAATAGAGTCACCGTGAAGGATGAGACATTTACTTCAATTTACTTCAAAAATACCACATATTTATATTTAACTGTTTATGCCAATGTGCTTGATTCTCTGTAGCAGACAGGTACCTCAGTCACTGGAAAACAAATTGTTATGTTTATAACTTCTGTTCCCTGAACATATATAATACATATATACATATATATATATATATAACATGTCGGCCGCACTTGCACATACACACCCCTGTCATCACAGTCAGTCTGATAGCTGCTCTTCACCAAGCCCAGCTGCACAACAGAGCAAGCTAGTGTTTTACATCATTCCTCTTCTCCAGGCAATAGAAGTATTAAACATAACACTTTGTTCCCTTTCAGTCGGTTCATTCAGAACAACACAAATAGCATGGAACACTGGCATTCACCAGGTGGAACATACTCTCAGTTGTGGTCTTGTTTTGCCTCCTGAGGCACCTTTGGTGCTCCATGCCAGGGAGATAGGCTCCATAATCGAGTGGGAGAGCTTATAACTTAGACTGCACTTCTTGGGCAGCAACAGAGGAACTTCAGGATCTCCCTCCTCCTCACATGCAACGTGAGCCCCTCTCCACTCCCCGTGGAGGCTCATGAGTGGGCCTTTGCTCTAAGGCGACTAACATGGAACTTGACCTGAAGTAGGCACCGCTTTCTTGGCGGGGAGCAGATGAACTGTGAACTTGTAAGAGCTAGCTGCAAGCCTGGGAGTCATATCACATCTGGGCATGATATCGCAAGTTATATGTATTATTTGTCAGCAGTGAGGGATTGAAAATAAATGGTGCTACTTCAGGAGGAAGTATGCTGTAAATGTTAATATTATGACAAGAATGACTTCAAAGGATAAAGACAGGTAGTCCAGAAAAGTTTTTTTAAGGACCGGCTCTGATTAAAATTAGCTGTAATGAGAATTGCTCTAGGAAAGGTGGGTCATGTTCCTTGACCAGATGCTAGCAGCGCAGATCAGGGACCATGTTAAACACATCTCAGCATAAGTGGCTGGTGGTAAATCATGTGAATGATTCTCACGGTAGAAGTGCTGCTAGGAAAATACTACATGGGGTAAGAACCATCAGCACAAGTAATGGAAATTAAATCAGGAGAAATTTTCCAAAGTCCAGTCCTCTGTCTTTGTGAAGGTGAGAGAAGGTTAAACTGCTAACGCTACTGTTAGATGTATTTGTTTCCTACTCTGATTCAGTAAAGAATGTGAGTTGAGCATATTTGTGTTTGAAGGTGTTTGACCTGTTAAACCGTAAAGCCAAGTTACGGGTGCTGGAAGACGGGAAGCAGCAGGTGCAGGTGGTGGGCCTGCAGGAGAGGGAGGTGAAATGCACAGAAGACGTCCTCAAACTCATCGAAGTGGGAAACAGCTGCAGGTAAACGTGATTTTTTTTTTCACATATGGACATGTTAAAATACACTAAACAGTAACAAGATCTGAGTTGGAGAGCTGCTGAATGAACCCCCTGAACACCCCCCACCATCCCTCTTGCAGGACGTCTGGGCAGACATCGGCCAACGCTCACTCCTCCCGGAGTCACGCTGTTTTCCAGATCATCCTGCGTCGGCGGGGGAAGATGCATGGAAAGTTCTCTCTTATCGACCTGGCAGGGAATGAGAGAGGGGCAGACACGTCCAGCGCTGACCGGCAGACTCGCCTCGAGGGAGCAGAGATCAACAAAAGTCTGCTGGCACTCAAGGTCTTTGCTTTAGTACTACAGATATTCTGTTCTTTAGTGTTGTGCTTCTCATATAGTTGTGATTTCAGAAGTTTACATACACTCATTTTGGGTATTAATGTCATTTTCATTTTAAAGATTTCTTTGGACTGTTCATTTTCCAGGGTGAAATGATTGCACACCATACCTTTGCTAAAAAAAAAGAATTATACTTTGTAGAACAGAAAAGTCCTAGTGAAGGTTTTCATTTTTTCGAGTCCTGTAGGTGGAGCACCTGAATGTCCTGCAAATCTAATTAACATTGACCTGAGCAGTATTGATGGTAAAGAAAGGCAGGTATAACAGTGAAAAAGCAAGCAGCAGAGGTGGTAGTGAAGGTGGATGAGTTCAAATACTCGGGGTTAACCATGCAAAGTGACAGTACACAAGAGAGGTGAAGCGAGTGCAGGCAAGGTGAAGTTGATGGAGACAACTGTCAGGGGTAATTTGTGACAGAAGAATAGCAGCAAGAGTGAAAGGTAAGGTGGTAGTGAGACTTGGTATGATGTATGGTTTGGACACAGTGGCACTGATAGGAGGCCAAGTTGGAGGTGGCAGAGTTGAAGGTGCTAAGATCTTTGTAGGAGTAAGCAGATGGGACAGGATTTAATAAGGTGCTCTGGTTGAGCAGCTTTGAGGGGTGGGATTTTTGGACATGTCAGAGGAGGGATAGTGGCTATATGAAGCGATGGATGTGAAGACAGCAGGCAGGAGGAAAAAAGGGATCAAGAATATCTTTCAGGGGCATTTTGCTGCTGTATAATCAGAAGAACATCCGTCAAGGAAAATGCAACAAATAGGCTATAGATATTAAAAAAAAAAACTTTAAGACAGCAAAGAAGATTCTTGGAAGATTCTACAGGAAAGGAGGAGATGGAGGCAGGCAATCTCGAGAAAATCCCAGATATATTTCATTGACTTGAAACAGCAAATCATGTAAGAAAAGAAAAATAGTAAATATTTCCTAGTTCTCCTTAAAAATTATTTTTGAAAATGACTATAGCCATAATTTTTGCATAATTGGGCATGGTGTATGTTTGCAGGAGTGTATTCGAGCCCTGGGCAGAAATAAACCACACACTCCATTTAGAGCCAGCAAGTTAACCCAAGTGCTGCGGGACTCGTTCATAGGAGAAAACTCCAGAACATGCATGGTAAGAAAACAACATGTACCCACTATAGACAAGCACACAATAGAAAGTGATTACAGATTTGGTTGCAGTTTTGATAATCCCTCTCTCATCTTTTTACAGATTGCAACCATCTCTCCTGGGATGGCATCTTGTGAAAACACACTGAACACATTGAGATATGCCAACAGGTAGGAAAGATTCTACTGAAAGGCAAAAAAAAGGTTTTCCGATATAACATTAAGATGAATGCACATTGAGTTATAATTTCAAATTTATACACCTTCACTTTCCACTAACTAACCTGACTTTCAGTCTTTGTCAAAAGCATCAACATAAAGTTCTAAAGTGGACCTGTTATACTGATTTCAAGTTCCATAGTTTTATCTATTATGGAAGATTCAACTGTCAAAAAATTCAATTCAACTTCAACTTCTCTCACTTTAAGCCAGCTTTCTTCTGATTGGCTGCCTATCACAAACAGACGTTTGGAAAATTTGTTTATTAAGCACATTTACCATTGTAACAGTATAGAGAATTATTTAAAATTTTGTGTTTGAGGAGTTTGCATGAAACATAAAGCCAGATTACACGCATCTTGTCATCTCATTTTTCTTGAAAATGTTGACTTATTGTGAGGAATACTCTTAGTTATCTGTATGCTCCGTTTGTCTTTCTCCTCTGTTGAATGAATTTATAAAAATGTAAAATAGAAAAGACTACATAACATAACATGATCCTCTCCTGCCTCCACTTGTTGATGTGTGTTTCTCTCCCCTGTCATGCTTTTTATTTTTTTCCCAGAGTAAAGGAATTTGGGATAAGTCCCTCAGACATTCCCTTCTCCCAGAGTGGGGGTGGAGGAGGTCGCTCTGAGCTCTCCCCTACCTATGAGTATGATCATTTTGCTATGTCTCTTAACAGTGTCCTGCACAATTAGTTACCCCCATATTGGCATTTCACATGAACCCAGGCAGCCGCTTTGTGTCTGTTTCCAAAAAGATCATTGAGGGTCCTAACATCATAACATCATCAGTCACCATAATCATGATGCAATCATTGTTGTAGGGTCTTTACCTTACAAGATAAAGTGCCTTGAGACAACTGTTGTTGTGATTTGGCATTATATAAATAAAACTGAATTAAATTCAGTTTAGTTGGCATGTGAACCAAGGTTAAAATGAGTTCATTCACTGTCTGCCTCACTTGACTTATTATTTATAGTTTTATTATTTAAGTTTTTTTTATTGCTTTAACCTCCTAAGACCCAAACTCTTCCACAGAATGCATTTTTAGTTTCTCTTTGATATTTGGGCTGATTGGGGCCCTATCAATGTAAAAACAAAGAATTACCAGATTTTTTTATTATTTTTTTTACCTTATTTTTGTTTTTAAGAAAAATCAGAACCACATATGGGGATATTCTTTTAAAATTTTAATAGAACAGTAGCTGTATAATGTCCTCGTAAGTGGATATCAGGCCCTTGTAGAGCAAAATTGAGTATTTTGGTCTAAATAACCCAAAATGTGATGTCCACATATGTGGACGCCAGGTCCTAGGAGGTTGGGTCATTCACTTTTTTTGTTAGTCTTATTTTATTTTTGTCAACAAATCCTTTTGAAAAAAACCCCAATAACAATTGTACTTTTCTATGAAGTATTACATTATATAAGTATTATATATTTTGCACTTCCATCCCAAAACACTCCAGTGAGATACACTGTTGGACTGAATGACAAATTTTTTAGTTGCTGTAAAAACTAATAGTCATTTATTGTGTTTTAAACCCACATACATGTCTTCGTAGTGCAAATAATTATTCACTAAAGCAGCAGTATCAAATATAGGGCCTGGGGGCAGAAATTGGCCCAGCACAACCTTCCCTAATGGCCATTTATACTGCACCAATGTAATGACACAACTGATCAATTGTTAAATGACAGAAAAGATCTTGTTGAAATTTCAAGTTTTTATAATGGGTTCACAGTAAAAAAAGAAAAAAAAAGAAAAGGGGGGTGGGGGGGGGCATTTTCTGTCAATTAACAACACATATAACCTTCCTGTTAAAGGAGCGATCCTCAACAAAGCTGTTCATAGGGCATTGGGGTTCTCTCAGTGTTGTTGTGGGCTTTTACCTTAAAATATAAAGCATCTTCAGGAAACCGTTAATAAAACTGATCTAAAATGAAGAGTACGTTAACAATTCATTTATAAAACTATGTGCTACAATAATGTATGGTTGGCAAAAAAAATAAAAAATTACACCGCATCCTGATCTTTCCATTCAGCATACCATTTGACAACTGCCTCCTCTGGGTTCTGATCTTTCTGTAAGATTTTTTTGGCAAAAAGTAAAAAAAAAAAAATCACTACATCGCCTTACCAGTATCATCCAATCTATTCAATATATTTTAGTTTTGTGTCACCTATCATGATGCATGTGCCCTACTTTGTTCCATCTCTAAATCCCAAATTCACCAGAAGTGTAAACTTTTTGGTTTTCTTTGTTCTTTAGGCTTTCTTTCATCAGTCATTTGTTGACTTGACTTGTTTTCCAGATGTGAGTTCCCAAAGCCTGCATGAAGTTCTTCGTCATCATCTTCATCTTCATGTTTCTTTCTCATAACTCACAGTATTCATCACTGCTTTCTTGGCATGTTGAACCACTTGTCACCGACGCGACACGTTTGTATATTTCTCATATACAGCTACACACCATTGTAGCTCACCTCTGCAGTTGTTTGCAGTTGTCATACTGTTGGTTTACCTATAGTGCTGATGTGTTGTCAGGGTGAAGGAGCTCACAGTGGACCCTGCGGCAGCCATGATGGAGAGCCATCAGGGAGGACACATCACGCAGCTGGAGGTGCTGGAGGCTCAGTGGGGAGTGGGGAGCTCTCCACAGAGAGATGATCTGAAGCTGCTCTGTGAACAGAACGTAAGAACATCTGCTGCCCTCGCACGCTACCGTGACAGAGAACATCTGAACCCACAGCAGCTCCGTGTGAAAAATATAGATGCTAGGTTTTCACAAACTGACTTCAGTCAGCTGGGAACTGCTGAGCCAGATGATAACTTGCATTATTCCACAAATGTGGCCCTTAGAAAACAATAATATTCAAAATACCTCCTACCTTCTCATATCTTTACTCTAGCTCCCTGCCACATTCACAGTTCAATTCAGCACTAAGTCTGCTTGCAGGTTCTTGCACAGTTACTTTCCATATAAAACTACAGTTTCAACAAAATAAACAATAGATCTTGCCTTCCTCTGCAGTCACTTTATTTTTTAACTTTTATGTCATAACCCTCATTCACATTGTGGCTGATGGTGCCTCATCTGGAAAAGGGTCATGGCTGAATATTGAATAACATTAGGATTTAATAAAAGAAGTACCTGTGGGTTTTGGTACATTATTTTTATTTCTCGGAATTTATCTAGCATAATTGTTTTTAGTTTAACTTTGCATATATTTCCTGCAGTTTTAAATTCATAATCACAGCACTGGCTTTGTTTATTGTAGGAGGAAGAGGTTTCCCCGCAGCTCTTCACTTTCCATGAAGCCGTCTCTCAGCTGGTAGAGATGGAGGAGCAGGTGCTAGAGGATCACAGGGCTGTTTTTCAGGTACAGTAGGCCAGAAGATTTCTGTTTTTCCATTTACAGCTAAAAATAATAGGAAATTAATAACCAATTGTAGCTAATTGCTATGCCTAGCCACACATACCTGATTGATCATTTGTTTTGAGGCATGTTAGTATAGATACAGATTGTTTCTGAACAATGCTAAATCGTATATTATAATGGGTAAAGCTTTCGTTTTAAAAATGTGATATCCTAAGCAACAGCTCACAGCTAGCACTGGAATTCATCTACCCTATTTTCTCAAGAGGCTTTACCTTTGCCAGACCTCCTTCCACCCAAGCTATCGAGCGTATTGGGCGACAAGGTCTCTCCATCGATCACGATTTCCGGCAAGCTCTTCACCTTCATCCCAAGCAATGCAAAGGGCTTTGAGGTCATAATGGAAGGTCCGGCGCCAGGTCAGCCATGTCCGTCCCCTGCCACAACCTCCAGGTGGAACCCATCAGTATGTTTTGTTTGGCTGTCGTCCATGCGAATGATGTGCCTGGCAAGTTTTTGACGGCAGCATGCGATAATCACGCTGAGGTGAGGAAGGTTGCTTCATTGTAGCACCTACTCATTGGTGACATGATCAAAGTATCGGATCTTCATTATCCTTCAAAGGCAGCACTGGTGGAAGACGTCCACCTTCCTGGTAATACTGGCCGATGCTTTACACCTTTCAGATGCATAGATTACCATTGGGATGATGGTTGAGGCGTACTAATGAACCTTGATGTTGATTGAGATGGAGGCAGATGACCAGATATTTCACATTTGTTGGAATACCGCCGAGGCTTTGCCAGTGCGGCTCTTGAAATGAGTCTCTCAATCTCCGTCCCAGCCAATGACGCTGCCAAAGTATGCGAACCTCTCAACCACCTCGAGTTCTTGCCCACCGATCTTGATCTTAGGCATACCGACCTGGTGGCTGATGTGCATGATTTTTGATTTTTCTGCACTGATGCAAAGTCCAACTTTTTCCAGCCAGGTTCGACGTTGGATGCTGGAGGTGGTGTCCATCTTCCGCCAGCCATCTGCAAAATCAAGGTCGGTAAGTCAACTGATCCCGTCCAAGGTGATGCCTGCATCTGGCCCGACCAAGGCTTTCTTCATGATGAAGTTTAGGGCCATTAGGAACAGGAAGGGCGAGAGGATGCGTCCTTGCCTGACACCAGTCTCAATGGCGAAGAGATCGGTGTGGCCCATGTTCATCTTGATGGAGCAGTTGGGGTGGCAGTAGAGTGACTTGAAGATTGAGATGAATTTTCGCGGGACACCGTACAGGTGGAGGATGCTCCAAAGCAAATCTCTGTGAATGCTATCAAAGGCTTTTTTGAAGTCGATGAAGTTTATTGAGAGTGATCGCTCTCAATTAACACACATCATTGAACGCTAACTGTTCGATGATGTTCCTAAGGGTGAATATTTGGTCAGTGCATGATCGTCCACGTCGAAAACCCACCTGTTCTTCGCAGAGGTGTTGGTCGGCAGCGCCTTTAAGTTGGCAGAGTAGCATGGTGAAGAAGGCTTTTCCTTTGACCGAGAGTAGGGTGATTCCACGCCAGTTTGTGTACTCCATCATGTTGCCCTCCTTTGGTAGTTTGAGGATGATGCCTTTCTGCCAGTTTTCGGGGACGGCCTCCATTCACCAACATTCATTGAACAGTTTTGTGAGCACATTTGTAACAATCGGCCCTCCATATTTCAACAATTCTGATTGGATTTCATCCATGCCGGCTGGTTTGTTGATTTTTGAGCTTTCATCGCCAAACAGACTTCATGTTGAGATATGGCGCCTTCTTCTACTTGAAGAGCTCCCAGTGCTTCTTGTTGCTCAAAATTGTATGTGCTGGTGAGTGTTTCCCAGAAGTGTTTGACTCAACAAGCATCCTGGTCTTCTTTGGTCACCAGAAGTTTGTCATTCTTTATTCTGTTGAAGTCCTTCCATGAAGTCCTTTGTTGATAGCTTTAACCTGTTTAAAGCTACATCGACATTCCCTGCGAGCTAAGGAAGAAAAGACGGGGGTGTCGTGCTGAGAAGGAGCGAAGGTCGCCCGAGAAGGAGACGTTATCGACCATCTCTTCCTTCTGTAATTATTGGAAACGTAAGATCTTTGCCCAATAAGATGGATGAGCTCACGTCGCTAACCTGGTCACAGAGGGAGTACCGGCAATCTAGCATCATGATGCTAACGGAGTTGTGGCTAACACCGCTAACTCCGGACACAAGCGTGACACTACCGGGATTCCAGCTGCTGCGAGCGGACAGGACGAGAGACAGCAGTAAGAGGAAAGGAGGGGGACTGGCAGTGTTTGTGAATGACAGATGGTGTAACCCTGGGCACATCACTGTTAAAGAACAACTCTGCAGCAGAGACATTGAGCTGTTAGCCGTTAGCATGCGTCCATATTACCTGCCCCGGGAATTCTCGCATGTTATCGTGATAACAGCTTAGTGTCCGTCAGACACTTCACACCTCCTCTACTCACCCTGCTCACTCCTCCCCACCACCAATAACAGCATCCAATACACACTCAACACAAGACTCCAGCCTGTCTCTCTCAACCACCCAGGTTAGGAGGGAACTGAGGAGGATTAAAGCCAAGAAGGCAGCGGGCCCAGATGGCATCAGCTCAAGGGTCGTCAGGTCCTGCGCGGACCAACTGTGTGGGGTGATGGAGCACCTCTTCAACCTGAGGCTGAGGCTGGGGCCCACAGCTCTGGAAAACCTCCTGTGTTGTACCAGTGCCAAAGACTTCACACCCCAAGGACCTCAACAGCTATAGGCCGGTGGCTCTGACATCCCACCTGATGAAGACCCTGGAGCGGCTGGTCCTGGCTCAGTTTCGGCACCTGGTGAGCTCATCACTGGACCCACTTCAGTTTGCCTACCAGCCTGGCATTGGAGCGGATGATGCCGTCATTCACCTCCTACATCGCTCCCTCGCTCACCTGGAGACCGCTGGAAGCACTGTGAGAATCATGTTCTTTGATTTCCCCAGTGCCTTCAACACTATTCTTCCCTCGGGAACGGTTCTGGCTCCGTTCCTCTTCACCATCTACACTGCAGACTTGTCCCACAACTCCACCCAGTGCTTCCTGCAGAAGTTCTCTGAAGACTCTGCAATAGTCGGCCTCATCACTGATGTGGACGACAAGGAGTACAGAGGGACTGGTGCCAACTACCTCCACATCAACACCACTAAAACCAAGGAGCTGGTGGTCGACTTCCGCAGGCACAAACATCCTCCACTGCAACCACTGAACATCCAAGGTATGGACATTGAGGCTGTGGACTGCTACAGGTACCTTGGTGTTCATCTGAACAACAAACTGGACTGGACTCATGATTCAGATGCCCTCTACAGGAAAGGGCAGAGCAGCTTGTACCTGCTGCGGAGACTCAGGTCGTTTGGAGTGGAGGGCCCACTCCTGAAGACCTTCTATGACTCTGTGGTGGCCTCAGCTATCTTTTACGGTGTGGTCTGCTGGGGTGGCAACATCTCTGCCGGGGACAGGAAGAGACTGAACAGGCTGATCAGAAGGGCCAGCTCTGTTCTAGGATGCCCTCTGGACCCAGTGGAGGTGGTGAGTGACAGGAGAATGGTGGCTAAGCTGTCATCCCTGTTGGGCAACATCTCCCACCCCATGCAGGAGACTCTGACAGCACTGAGCAGCTCCTTCAGTGGCAGACAGCAGCACCCACGGTGTGGGACGGAGAGATTTCGCAGGTCTTTCCTCCCCACTGCTGTCAGACTGCACAACAAAGACTTCAACTGATCAAACACACACATCCACACATGTGCAATAACACTAAGTGCAATACTCTTTATCTGACAAAGTTGTATTTTTACTCAGTTGTATTAAGTGTTTGTATTCTATTTTTATCCTATTGTATATTTTATTCTATTTATTCTACTGTATATAGTATTTTATTCTATTCTGTACAGCGGTGTACAGTATTTTATTTTTATTGTATTCTAATTTTTGCCATATAACTTTTGCACTGTCCACTTCCTGCTGTGACAAAACAAATTTCCCACGTGTGGGACTAATAAAGGTTATCTTATCTTATCTTTAGTGCAGTAATTTACAGTAAATACCATAGAATTTGCCATATTTTTATAAAGAGGAACCACGTGCCATAACACAACTTTGACCCACTTTTGCGTTCATAGGCAATATGAATTTAAAACCACATAGCCCAACTCAACTGCATCTTTTTCCCTTACAGGAGTCGATCCGGTGCTTGGAGGATGAGAAGGTGCTTCTGGAAATGACAGAGGAGGTGGACTATGATGTTGAATCATATGCAACTCAGTTAGAACAAATCCTGGACCAGAAGATAGACATTCTTACTGAGCTAAGAGGTAAACATCATGCAGTTTCCAAATTTTCAGCCTCTTTGCATTAAGAAAGTATCAATTCTACAAGTTAGTCTGATAAATGAATAACTGTAGATGGCAACAGACACACCGTTAACAAACAACTACCAGCTGCTACAGTAATTAAAGCAATGTACCGATGTTATGTTATGTGCAAGCTACATTTAAAACATTTCCTCTTCCAGCAGTTCTTTCCCACAAGGAAATGAATCTGTTGCTCTCCACCAGACTCAGAAACAGCAATTTTATCTCACAAAACACAGGATTTTTCATCTACTGCAGCCTTGATTTGTTGGTATTGGTTGGTTTGTATTATTGTGCTGTGCTTCAGTGCGTAAGCTTCAATCCAAACTAATTCATTACAGTGCAAGAGTGCTAAGCAGTTTCTATGATAGTGTGCCATTTCCATCAACAAACTTGCAAGTAAAATTTAAATATATCTTCACATTTTCAGTTGTACATCAACTCAAAATGTGTTTTGTGCCAGCAACTCAAATAAGTTTTACACTTATTCATATAGGATTTTTAAGAACTATACCCATATTTGGTGATTTAAAAATCTGATACTTCAATCAAGGTCAGTATTGATGAGCAAAATAGCTAATTATATGAAAGAAAGAAGTTAAGCTACGAAATATATGAAAATACAAGAGACCCAACAAAGACAACACAATTGTCCAGCAGTAGGATTATCCATGATGATAGGAGAGAGATAAATCTTTATTTCCTATTCTTCACCAGTTTCTGCTCTTATCCTATAATTTCACCTCCACTTTTTATAAAATTCACATTTTGCTACAGAATATTTCACAATATTTTAAAAACAGCTTCCACTGGTGTATCAAATTTTGTATGAGTGACGTGATTTCATGTTATCCTGAAAGACAAAGATCATAATTTAAATAGTGCCTTCTGTGTGATATTCTCTCCTCTTCCAGATAAAGTCAAGTCTTTCCGTTGTGCTCTCCAGGAAGAGGAACAAGCTAGCAAACAAATCACCCCCAAGAGGCCTCGGGCGCTATAGACGCATAACATGTGCTATTTCACTGATTGGTCCTCAGAGAGGTGAAGGCCATAAGGAGGTCAGTGCTGATGAAGCAGCTGATTTAACTCAGCTGTGATTTTATGGTGTGAGTTCCTGTTAGTGTGTTTGGTTTTCCCTGACCTCTCTGCTGTACAGACTGCTTCCTGTCATCCATCCATCCATTTGCAAAGCCAAAGAGCGTACCGCCCACGCTCTGCCATGTTCCTGTAAAGCGTATCTATAAAGTTTTTCTCTGTGTGCTTAATCCCAAGTACTTGACTTTAAAACAAAAAAAAGTTCAGACATTGTTTTAAATTATTTTTTATCAGATCAGTCATGCTCACCAGGGCAATTTTATAAACCACCTTTGCCATTTTGTGCAATATTTGGAGGAATTTTTCTGCCTGTTCTTCCTGTTTCAGCTCGGATGAACAGGGCATGTCAAGTTTGTAACATGAGCCATGTGTTTGTGTTGATACTGTATGTAATTAAGGTTTGATTGAGACAAGCCTAAAATTAACCTTATGTGACATTAACTGCACTAAAGGGTGCACTATGATCAAGGTGTTTTAGGATACATTTACAGAAACAGTTTTTTTCATTTGCCATAATAAAAGATTAATTCTTGTTGCTGTATGTGTATTTATTTAGCCCTCAGGGCTCTGTGGAGCATCTAGCTAATTTTCTCTGATCATAGTTACTAATTATCACTAAAATATGTTTAACTACTCACGCTGTTCAAAGGCATGAAAATCTTTTCATAGCCTTCAGTTTAACATGAAATACAATACAAACAATACAACTTTCTTTGTATAGCACATTTAAAACCAGAGGTAGCCAAAGTGCTTCACGTAATCCAATAAAACAGTAGTAAAATACAAATGCAGATAAGCTAGCAGATGGCTGGCATTGATTAACCAAGCATACAAGTACGCAGATAAGCAAGCAAGACTTAACGATAAAAACAATAAAACAATATAGGCAAAAGAGAGGAAAGGGGAAGGCAAGAAAGAACACTTAAAAGGCCTGCTCTAGGAGGCCGGGAAGGCTAAGCTAAAAAGGTGGGTTTTCAATCAAGACTTGAAGGTCTGGATTGAGTCAGATGTGTGAATAATATGAGGGAGGTTATTCCAGAGGTTAGGTGCAACTGAAGCAAAGGCACGGTCACCTCTGGTTTTCAGCCGTGACCTAGGTTGCACCAAGAGCAATTGGTCAGACGATCTCAGCATTCTACTGGGAGTATACACACTAAGGAGATCAATAAGATAGCTGGGTGAAATGTTATTTATGATTTTATAAGTAAGCAGTAAGATTTTGAAATCAATGCGGTGTTTAATTGGGAGCCAGTGAAGGCCAGTGAGAATTGGGGTGATAGACTCAAACCTACGAGTACCAGTTAGAAGGCGAGCCGCGGCGTTTTGGACGAGTTGCAATCTACGAAGAAGGGCAGAATGAAGCCCAGTGTATAGGTAGTTGCAATAGTCTAACCTGGATGTGACAAAGGAATGGATAAGCTTTTCTAGATCCTCACGTGGTAAGTATGGCATGGCCTTAGAAATTAAACAAAGTTGATAGAAACAAGATTTAATAACAGAGGACACATGCTTGTCAAGCTTAAAGGAGCCGTCCAGGTAAACACCCAAATTACTTGTGGAATCGGAAAGATAATCAGCGAATGGCCCGAGGACACCAGTTAGATGGGCTCTAGGGGTATGACTATCAAATATTAAAATTTCCGTTTTCTTGTCATTAAGGATAAGAGAATTGCTCAACAGCCAGTCTTTAACTTCACTTATATAATCGAAGAAGCAAAGTACCAAGGAAGTTTCATCCTCGGTCAATTCAAAATAAATTTGAATGTCATCCGCGTAGCAATGATAAGAGAGTTTGTACTTTTCAATAATACGACAAAGGGGTAACATATATAGAGAAAACAGCATAGGACCCAACACAGACCCCTGAGGGACACCACAGGTAATGGGGGCAATGGAAGAGGAGTAGGTACCCATCATGACAGAGAAGGACTTCTCCAATAAGTAGGATTTAAACCAACTAAGAGCCATACCCGTAATGCCAACCAGAAGTTCAAGCCTCATTAACAGGATATTATGGTCCACCAGATCAAAAGCAGAAGACAGGTCCAACAAAATTAAGACGGCAGGGCGCCCAGAGTCAGTAATTAAAAGAAGATCATTGAAGACCCTCAAAAGTGCTGTTTCCATGCTATGGCGCAGTTTAAACCCAGTTTGAAATTTATCCCAGATGTTATTCTCATTCAGATAGGTCTGAAGTTGTGATAGGACAATCTTCTCGAGGATTTTTGACAGGAACGGAAGTTGCGAGATAGGTCTGTAATTAGCGAGATTTGAGTGATCTAGGGAACGCTTTTTAAGAACAGGTTTCACTTCGGCATGTTTAAAGGCAGCCGGAACACATCCCATTGACAAGGAAAGATTGATTAGTGATAATATACAAGGCCCAATTACATTAAATCCCTCCTTAATAATGCGAGATGGGAGAATGTCGTGAACAGAATTTGAGTTTTTTGGACGATCAATAATTCCCTTAAGGGTAGGAAGTGACACTGGTTCAAACTGAGCAAGTGTCATAGAGCAGCGTAAAGCGGGGGCTTGGCACATCCCCAAAGCTTTTAAGGCTCTTGAGGTGGAGATTTTATCAGTGAAGTGATTTAAGAACTGCTCACAAAGAGCCGAAGAAGCTAGCCACGATGCTTCAGGATAAGGGTTAACCAAGGAGTTAAAAATATTGAATAAAATGC